TCTGACGCTGCGTGAGTTCCCTGACACACTGGGGACACATGTTTATGTATAAAAGACATAAAAAAGTGCATTTTGCATGAAAGGTCCCCTTTAATTTGACTTTTAATTACATTTTTATATTGTTTTTATTTATTTTTTAATTTTAATGTGATTGTAATTGTATTTGAATATTATTTTATGTTATTATTTTTGAAATGCTTTTTCTGTTTTCATTGTATTCATTGTATTGTATTACTTTTTCTTTTTATCAATCACAAAGTTGTGTGTAACTTGGCATTTATTAACTGGAAAAAGGTTGAGAACAATTTTAATTTGTATCTAATTTTGTGAAGCCCTTTGTGTTTACCTTAAAACCTCTTAAGCCCCACGGACCCGTATCCGGGGCCGAAATTGCGTCATTTGCAGGAAACAACGTCTAAGGAACCTTCATATTTAATAAACTATGAATGTTTTGTATCCATATAACGTAAAAAAACCTAATTTACCTAATCTTTTTCATATATATTTTTTTTTTTAAAACTAAAAAATGCTAACACTGACCCTCTGAATTAGCCCAGAGCGAAAAATGCTAACCTATTACTGCACCGAAAATCACTCCTAGCACCCTTATTACTTATCCTAGCTGCACATCCAACACATCGTTTATGATCGTAAGGAGACACCGAATCCAGCGCCATATAGATAGAAGAGTTACGACATCTCCGTTCACTCCAATGGACCAGTTTCTTTACAGCAATGGCGGATCGTGGAGCTCTCAATAGTTCCCCGGAAGTTAGCTTGCCGCTGACTTGCGGCGCTATCTGCGGCTAGCAGCGCGGTAGAGTTGCAGCATAATAGACCGTTCGTGTTGGACTTTTAAAGGTAAGAAGACGTTTAAAGATTTATATTGCGGATATTATCAGCACATCTGAGTCAAATTAACATGTGTATTAAAGGATGTTAGTGGATTCCGTGAAGATTATTCCTAAATCAGTAGATTTAGGGAACGTTTACAGATAACAGATTAGGCTAGGATTCCGGATAAAGTTAGCAACACACGTTAACCACGAACAGCCTATTAATCCGTTCTCCTAATGTTATTTCAACCCAACGTTGTGGAATTAGAGAAAAGGGGCTTCTTAATGTGCTTTTATCCGGGCTGGAGGGAGTTAAATATTAGTTAAATATAACATTGGGGCGTGTGATTGTAGTGGGTGGAGGTGGTGAAATGAGGATATCCATTTTGGAGTTCAAGCTAGTATAATATAGTTAACGTTACAAAATAATAAGGAAGAGAGCTATTTTTGTGATACATCGCTATTGATATGGATTTAGAGTGCATATTTGAGACTTCCAAACAGTAAACAAAAACGTAACTTATGGGTGAGTGTTTTTAGCAGTCATATTATGTCCTTGTGATTCTGTTGATTATTACCTCTCTGTATTATGTTGCGGCTCAGCTGATTTTGGATTGATGGCAAAGGGAGAGGGACTTAAGTGAGAGTGAAAACACAAGGTAAGTTTCAAATAGGTCAGCAATTTCCCATCCTATAGGTTGCTAGATGTATCTAACCCTTTCTCCTGTCTCCCTCTTTCAGCACAAGAACCCCAGGGGGATTCAATGGAGCCTGAAGACCTGCAATGAGACCCTCACCCTGAGCCTGAGTCTCAACTCCCAGAGTTTTGCAAGCCTCTCCCTGTTCCTTATTTTGATTAAACAGACGTTAAGCTTCCCAATGGTGTGGTCTTCGTTTTGTGAAAAATATGATCACCTACATATGTTGTTGCTGTTGTTGTCTTTTGTGATAGTTAAATTGCTCCTGCTGACTTGAGCCAGCCATTCTTTCCTCCTCTCTGTGTCAGTGGGGAAACTTTACATGTGTACTCCTTTCTCTGAGCGCTTGGAGCATCCCCAGGCAGCACAGCAAACCATGGTGGAGACGATATGCCAGGACAACAGGCACAGACAAACTGCATGACATGCTATTCAATGTTTATTGAATTCCATTTATTTACAATGGATGTTCCTAAAACAGCACATTTAACATCATCATGCTGCTGCTGCTAGTCCTTTGTCTCATTGTTCTCTCAGTTGACAATCATTGATAGGCACCTGTCGGTCTCCTGTCCTTTCTGAAAGTCATAAAGATTACATTAGTGATTTAGATTATTTATGTCCTCAATTACCAGGGGATTACTGAAACCACCATGAATTAAAGAAATGGTAGAAATGTATCTAATCTGAATTTTGAAACCTTCCTTCCCATCCCCTCCCTCTAAATATATCAATACACATTAGGATGGGATGCTCCTGACTACCATACAGATTTAAGAAGATAATATTTGTTTTAAAGAATTCAAAGCAATAAACAACAGGCTCTGTAACCAAGGCAACGTTAGCCTAACATGTATATGTTAACAGGTAAGATAGCTGTTCACACTGTGTCTATTTTCTACTTTTTGTAATGCTATTTTATTTCTATTTAAGATGTTTACATTTTCGATTGTTTGATTCTAGTCTTTTAACTGTCTAATGTACAATGCCTTGTCTTTTGCTGCTGCAGCGTAAACATTTCCCCAATTGGTATCAATAAAGTACTTTTTTTTTATCTTAATCCTCAAATATTAGCAAATTTTACTTTAAAAAAACCAAAACATTGATGTAACTACATACACATATCGATATGTTGTATAAATATTGCAAATCAAAACCTTTATTGACCACTAATTACCAAAAATTGCGTTTCTATCCTGTTATTTATGCATTCAAGTCGTGATTAAAATGGCCCGCCACGAACTTCCGGGGAACTATTGAGTCTCCCTGAACCACGTGACGATCAAGCATTTTGGACTTCTGCTGTCGCAACTCTTCTCTCTAGCCTCATCCCCTCCTCGGCCCCGTCTCAGGTCGGTTAAATTAAATCCTTGCTTCCCTCACTTGCGTCGTTTCCCTGTGTTTAGTCCCTCCCTCCAGGGAAGCAGGGAGGGACGCAAGGAAACCATGAGAAGCAGGGAAATGC